TGTTTCTTTTCTCTAGCAGCTTTTAATATTCTGTTCTTTTGCTGGAGATCTGGGAACTTGACTATTATATGTCTGGGTATAGTTTTATTTTTGTTGTGGTTGGTTGGAGTTCTAAATGCCTCATTTACCTGTATATCAGGTTCTGTTTCCATGCTTGGGAAATTTTCTGCTATTATTTCTGCAAACATTCTTTTTGTCAGTTGTGTTGCCTCCTTCTGTTTCATTGACTCCTATTATTCATACATTATTCCTCTTTGCCTCATCTTGCAGCTGTTGAACTGATTTTTTTCTGGAACCTTGGTGATTTTATGAGATCCTTTCTTTCACGGTGGCTAGCTGCCATGCTGTCTTCAAAGTCTGAAATTCTATCTTCAGCTTCATTCAAGTGGTTTTGGCAGCTTTCAATGGAATCTTTGTTTTCCTGGAAGTCTCTTTCAATCTGGTTTATGTGTTCATGCGTTCTAAGTCCTTTCTATATTTTTCATTTAACACTTCCATCCATTGCCTTTGTTCTTCTGTTTTCTTATACATTTCTTCTTCAGTCATTTTGAGCAGTTTTTTCATTATTATTGTCATTTCATTTTTTGCCTGAGAGGTTATTTCTGATCTCATCTCTTCTATGGCCTTATGCAGTTGTTTCTTTACTTCCATTGCACCCATTTCAGCTATTTCAGGCATGTGTTTACCAAGTTCTCCTATGTCAATGTCTCCTGGACTTGTTCTGAGTGGGGTGGAGTTCTGGGATTGTGTTTTAGTCCTTCGTTTTTTCATGTTTGCTACCAGATGCAGAAAGCTCAGTTTTCCTCTTTGTGGATGCACAGCAAAGGCCACTAGTGTCCCTAGTATTCCTGTTGGTCAGGTTTGCCCCTCAGTATCTGCTGAGAAGCACTACTTAGTCTGGGGTTTTCTGGCAGTTGTTGATTTGTATCTAGTTATCCCAGGTCTCAGACACTGGCATTGGTGCCAGCTGATGACAGACCATCTGATCCAGCGTCCCCTTGTAGTTCAAGGCACATGCACGGCCCAGACTCGGGTTGCACTGGCGTGGCAATCCCAGTCCAGTGGACCTATGTCCCCAGGCAGTTCAGGGTACAGGCATAACCCAGACATGAACTGCAGTTCATGAACCATCTGGTTCTGTGTCTCCAGTCAGTTCAGGACACATACAGGAACCAGATGTGGGCCAGACTGACAGCAATCACACACTCCCCATGACTGCGACCCCCCCAGGGGGTCCAGACACAAGTAAAGCATGGACTTGAACCACGGGACCAGCAGCCCTTAGAGTGCTCACTCACTCGGCGCGAGGCACTTGCAGAGGGGCCTACATGCGAACCCCAGTGAGAGCAGTCCCCGGGCCTTCTGAGTGAGGAATTCCTGTCTGCCATGGGCACATGGAGGGCAGAGACTCAGACTGTAATGGCAGTGGGGTCCTGGGTCACCCACTCTGCCCCCAGGAAGTAGATGGGAAATACCTGGCTCTCTCCACAAGTTTCAGCTGGGAACCATGGTGGTGGGAGCAGGTTGCAGCCCACCTGGTTCCACTTTTTAGTCAGTTCAGGACGTGTGCAAGAGACAGACCCAGGCCACTCAAAGACTAATCACAGACTGCCTGTGCCTGCAATCCCCCAGGGGGTCCAGGCACAAGTAAAGCACAGATTTGAACCACAGGACCAGCAGCTCTTGGAGCACTCACTCACTCGGCACAGGGCATGCACAGGGAGGGCCCACACACAAACAGTGAGAGTAGTTCCAGGGCCTTCTGAGTGAGGTCCTCCTGTCTACCACAGGTGCACAGAGCACAGCAACTCAGACTCTACCCCTATATTATAAATGAGGAGATAGGGACAGGGGAAGTCTCCAGGATTTGCCCAGAATATGTGGATAGAATCAGGAACCATACTCAGGTCTTTTCATTTCTGCAGGATGTGCTCTGGTGGGACTGTACTGTGTGTGTACATCACACATGCACTTAGAGAAAGTTAAACGCATTCAGCCTAAGCCCATGGAAGATGTAGTGGTGGAGAAGCAGAGACAGAACCAATATTGTAACGACCACAGACAGAAGCTAAAGCCCAGAGTGAGTGAGGAATGCAGACAAGACTGTCCCATCTCTGTTGGCCTCAGTACTCCAGTTAGACATGCTTATTTCCCCTGTAATGGGACCCAGGCTTTGAGATAATCATTTCGACTCTCTATGACTTTCCCCTGGAGTAATAGAATGTGGACCCCAAAATCACAGCCTTGGGTTCAAATCTTAACTCTACTACCCATCAGTTGTGTGACTGAGGCACTCTCATTTCTCTTGATTCAATTTTGTTATCCACAGAAACAGAATAACATCAGTTCCTAATCTCATAGAGTTAACTAAAGTAATGCATTGCAATGCTTAGCTCCAGGTGTACCATATAAAAGATATTCAATAAATGGCAGGTGTAATAGTCATCCCCATCACGGTTGTTATTATTATACAATATTTAGAAATTGATAGTCCCATGTGATATTACTGTGGTAAACCAGATCTCTTGCTCCTCTGCCTGTTCCTATTCCTAAGCCCTCAACTCTGCCAGGACCAGGTGAAGTAGATGCTGCATGACCCTAGGTCACTTCCCCTGCAGTTATCCCAAGTCCCTCATAAGAGCACTTGCTTCTAGGTATGTCCTACATACTGAGTTCTTCACACAGTCTGAGTGTGTTCTCCTAAAATTCATACATTGAAATCTTAATCCTCGAGGTGGTATTAGGAGGTGAGGTATTAGGAGGTGACGTCACCATATCACCAGAGTAGAGCATATGAATGAGTGAAATTGGTGCCCTTATAGAAGAGGCCTGAGGGGGCTCACTTGTCAGTTCCTTAATGTCTGGTCACAGTGAAAAGATATGAGCCTATATGAGGCCCTCAGCAGACAATGAATTTGCCAACATCTTTTGGACTTCCCAGCTTCCAGAACCGTGAGAAGTAAATTTCTATTGTTTATTAGCTACCACTCTATGGTAATTTGTTATAGCATCCTGAACAGAGGAAAACAGGTGCCACGTGCCAGCTCAGACCATGGTTCAAGTCCTCACTGACCAGAGGAGTACACAAGGACCAAATGCCAAGGGCAAGCCAGGGAACATCAATGAAAGGGCATTGTCCTCGGGCTGAGCAGCAATCAAGAGATGGCTGTGCCACATCTCAGGGAACTTTGATGGGTTGTGGAGACCATCATATACATGTGTGTCACATGTACAAGGAGTTTAAAGAATAAAATGAGTACCATCATTGATCCTAAAGAAAGAGTACCTTAAAAGCATTTGTTTCTTCTCAGTGTGTTCTTCCCTAACCCTAAAATTAACCATGATCTTGAAATGTGGATGAATCCTCCATTACTTTTCTTTATAACTTGATTCCATATATGTCTTTCTCCAAAAATACACATTGCTTAATTTTTGCATGTCACTTCCATTATATAAATGGAATCATTCTATAAATGTCTATTTTCTGCTGCTATAACAAAGCACCACAGGCTGGATGATGTATAAAGGGTCTTTATTTAGCTCATGGTTTTGGAGGCTGAAATTCCAGGAATGTGCAGATATTGGTTCAACCCCTAGTGAGGGCTTTATAGCAGATGGCATCACAGCAGAGGTCCTGTGTGTGGTAAGCCAGGAAGCAGAGAGTTTCCAAAGCCAGGCTCGCTGTTTCTATGACAGCCCACTCTCATGGGAACTAATTGGGTCCAGCAGGAGTTACATTAATGCCTTCTAGGGGCAACAGCCCCAATGACCTAATCCCCTTCCACTAGGCCCCACCTCCTAAAAATTCCGCCACCTCCCAGCATGGCCCCACTGATGGCCAAGCTTCCAGCACATGGACCTTTGGGAAAAATAACCACATCCAAACTATAGCAAATATTTTTTTGTGACCTTATTTTCTTCCACTATTAAGTTTTTAAAATTCATGCTGCTGCATGACACAGTTCATTTTCCCTTACTGTGTAGTATTCTATCATCAGAAAATACACTTGCTTATCAGGCATGTTGTTAATGAACATTCAAGTGCTTTTATTTCAAACAATATGAGCGTTATTGTTCATTTCAAACAATATGAACATTATTGTACATTCTTCTTATGAATGTGTAGAAGAGTTTCTCTAGAGTATAAATCCATTCAGAATTGTAAGGTTTTAAGTATTCAAATATTCAGATTCACTAGATGATGCACAATTTATGTTACAGAGAGGTTGTAACACTTTACACTCTTCCCAGAAACCAAAGAAATGTTCCTGTTGCTGTGGATCTGTGCAAACACTTGGTTTTATCAGACTTTTACATTTTTACCAATCTGGTAGGTTCATGAAATGCATCTCACTCTCAAGTTAATGATGAGGCTGAGCATCCTTTATATGCTTATTGACTATCCATGCTTCCTGTTCTGCATGATGGTTACTCCCCCATAAAGCTTTCTTCCTCTGAGGAAAGAGATAGCAAACAAGCAAGTGAGCAATAAAATATTTGCAACTTATAATTAGGACTATGAAAGAACTAAGAGAGGCTTAGCTAGCAAACAAAAAGGCAGAGAACTGTACTTATTACAGAATGATTGCAGAAAACCAGTTTGAGAGGTGCTATTTGAGATGAGCTCAAATGGGCAAGGGCAAGAAAAAGAATGGTAGCCTCCCTGTTGGTAAACATTGGTTTTAAGTAACTGAGGATCGAGGAGCAGAAAGGAAAAAAAATACCGTGCTAGTCAACTGTTTGTCACTATGACAAAATAACAGAAAAACAACTTAAAAGTAGAAAGGAGTCAGGCATGGTGGCACATTCCTACAACCCCAGCACTTGGGAGGTTGAGGCAGAAGGATCTCCATAGAAGCCATCCCAGACTACACAGTGAATTCAAGGCCAGCCTGAATTACATAGAAAGACCCTATCTCAAAGCATACCAAAAAAAGCCTAACCTTGCACGAACTTTTTGGTGAATACTTTTTATTCAAATCATAACAAATACTTTAAGGAGAGCCATGAAAAGATTTTGTAACATATTTTTAAAAAGTTAAGCAGAGAAAATGGAATTTGAGGTGCAGAGGAAAATGTCCTTGAAAAATCATATGATTTTGGAAACAGAAGTACATTTTGGAAAGCATCTAAGTCTAGCCTAAGAGTCTGGATAACATGGATTACAGTGAAGGGTGAGACATTAAGACAACAAGCAGAGGTGAAAAAATAGATCTGGCTAAGGGTTAAGTAAAAGGAGAGATAATCTCTTCCCTTCCCTTGCAAAACAATTTAGTCCTAAAGGCAGTAAGTGGAACCAAGCAGAGCAGGTATCCACGCCTGCAGGGTAAGAGGAGTTGGGGCCATTGTGGCAGAGGCCAAGGTAGCAGAGGGGAGAAGGGAGTCCGCACTGAGGGGCTTTCTGGCACTGAAGTTGAAGGCCACAAAGGGTGAGACAGTACCTGTACGGGGAGAGAACTGGCATAGGACTCCAGCCAAGGAACTGGCAGAGGGCTCCAACTGGCATTAGAGCTCCAACCAAGATGAGCAGACATCTGTACTGGGCCCAGGAGCCAAAGCAGAGTGTTGAGGCCATCACATAGGGGTCAATCCAACAAGGGAATCGGGAGAGGAGGGAGGGTGGCAGTAGCGTGGGCCTTAGTTCCACATGGTGATTAGTCAAATAAATCAATATGGTAAGGACAGTAGAAGACAGGCTTTTCACTGTCAGAAAAAAGGGTTAGAAATATTGCAAAAACAAGCTATATACCAAACCAGGTTAGACCATTAGAATTGGACATATCAGTGTGAGCTCATGGGTTTCAATATGTAGACGGTAAGGGAGAAGTGTTTTAGTTCTTCCCACTAAGGGAGCTTTGGAGCAGAGTCTCCCCAGTAGCAATGACCATCTGTAGTACCAGATCTTGGTTTCTAAATAGCATCTTCCACCAAAAACAGACCAGGGTCCTTGAAAGAAATGGCTGATCTCAAGACTGGAACAGGAAAGTACAAGACAAGCCAGAAACATCTGATGGCAGAAAATACCCAAGGAATGGTAGAGACATGTCAAAGGACGTAGAAGCCAGCTTGAAGGGACTCCTACTGACCATCCTATGAGTAAATCTACTGAGGAGTTTTGATAACTTGAGCACTAGAGTTGTTAATATAATAATAAGAGGAACAAATCCCAGTAGTTCTCACATGCACATAATCCCAACTATTCAGGAGGCTGAAGCAAGAGGGTCATGGATAGTCCAGGAAACATAGTAAGACCTTGTCTCAAATTAACTATAAAAATTATAGCAACAAATGAGAAACTACTGAATAAAACAAGACACTATATTCATACAGACATAAATAAATTAATTAATGGTTTTATGAGAACAGGATATTTACATAGTTTCAAACTGCTTCCTTTACAACAACTACAAAGGGAAAAAGAATGGCTTTACAGTGGGGGAGGCTGGAAGATGCCACTTAATCAAGTGATCCTAGAGGGTATCACCAGAAGTAGCGCAAACTGAGATCAGACTCTGGCTGAGAGGATACAGAGAAAGGAACCCAACCTCCCTTCTGTGACCATCCAGTCAAAGATGTACTCTGCAACCTGAATCTGAGCAAGAGGAATCATTTGACAAACCTAAATTTGGGGCGTACAATAAACCCACTGCCTGTCATTGTCAAAAGTATAAAAGCCATCAAGGTCAAGAGAAGTCTTTGGAACTGTTGTCATACCAAGGATGCATGACAACTAGTGTGAGGGGTAACTCTGAGTTGGGTCCTTCTGCTACTCAGGACCTTACTGGGACAAGTGAAAAAGCTTGCCTGGGATGTGAGGAGTGGATGGCAGCAATGTATCAGGGTTCATTTCCTGATTTTGATAGTTGTTTTGTGGCTACATGAGAGAAAGTAATGGTAGGAAATGCACAGTAACATATTCTGGGGTTATGGGGCATTGTTTTGGCTACTCATTTTCTAATGGTTCATGGGAAAAAGGGTTTTATACTATGCTTTTGTGATTGTTCAAAATGGAAGTCTGATTTACAGGGAGAGTGAGATAGTACAGCTGGGCGTGATGGCGCATGTCTGTAATCCTAGCACTTGGGAGGCTGAGGCAGGAGGATCCTTGTGAGTTCAAGGCCAGCCTGGGCCAGCCTGGGCCTTGAGTGAGCTCAAGGCCAGCCTGAACTGCATAGTGAGACCTTGTCTCAAAAAGACAAAAAAAAAAAAAAGTGAGGTAGTACAAACAAACATTATCTCAAAAGGGAGTGAGATAGTACAAACTAATATTAAAAAGAAATACAATAGCACAAGAATCAGCAAACAGCAAAACATTGCCATCGAAAAACAATTTAGAGAAGCAGAAAAGAAACCTGAAAATGTCCGCAGGAGGAGGGAGGACAAGAGAAACTGATCACTAGGAAATTCAGGGAGGAATCCAACAAACGGGGCAGGGGGGCACATTTGAAGAAAAGAGATAAATGGAAGGAAGAGAATTGAATACAGCTTTTCTGAGACTTTTTTAAAAACCTACATATACAGAATAAAAGAGATAACTATCATATATCAGGAGAAACCAAAAACAGCATGGCCATGTTTTCAAACTATAAGGATAGAAGTTAGAAGAAATCTAAAATCCAGACTGAGAAGATGTCCTCCAAAGGAACCACAGCTAGGCTATCCTCACACTAATTTTTGCCATTAGTGTGCAGAAAACAAAATGAGTATTTCTGTAGATGTGTAGGGGGAAAAAGAAGTCAGGAACCCTGTGTGTGAAGGGAAGAGGTAGTCACTTGCGGTGATCCAAAAGCTTAACTATAAGGCCACTCTAGTCTCAATCTGAACTTTTACTCAAGGAAGTAATCACCCAAGGGGTGAGTCAAGAACTCAAAATAAAGAAGATGTATAAAAGAAAACAGCAAATGAGAAATACTGATACTAGCTAAGTATAAAGTCTATAGTTGAAAATATAAAATCAAAGCAGATTGCAAATATAATAATTCTTAAGATACTAAAAGTAATAACTTTATATTAACAAGTTCATTGAAGGATAGGAGAATGTCTTTGTCCTTCATGAGAGTCAAATCAGTAAGTATTATTTAATGACTAACTTTGGTACCTAGAAAAATGAAGATCTTCAATTCCATATTATCATCAATAATTAATTTTAAATGGAGCATAATATTTCAACATCACTAAAAGTAAACAAAAAGTAAAACATAATCCTAATATAAAAGGTAGAAACCATGGCAACTGCTTAGAAGTAAAAATATAAAAAGTACAAAATAAGATAAAGCAGTAAAAGAAAATCATTCAGTTATTGAGAAAAATGGAAGTTTCTTACAGTCTAATTCCCTGCTCTTAGGAAAGACCAATTCCTTACTTTTAAGAAAGTCTTAAATTTGGCTAAATAAGATTTGACTACTTTTTAAGTGCTAAAACAAAGAAACACAGTTTACAAATAAAAAGATGGGCCTCAGGCTATAGCTCAATGGCACAGCGCTTGCCTACCTTGCTCAAGACCCTGGGTTTGATCCTCAGCAATGCAGATAGATAGATAGATAGATAGATAGATAGATAGATAGATAAACAAATAAATAAATAACCAGTGATACATCAGGAAAACACAAAGAACAATAACGCTTTTTAAAGTTGTATAATCCAAAGCAAAAAGCATTAAATGGAAAAAGTGAATTATAATCTGCATTTTGTTTTTTCAGAACTGAGGGCTAAAGCCAGGGCATTCACAACTAGCTACATCTCCAGTATTTTTTTCTGAACCAGGGTGCTATGGTTTGAATCTGAAATGCCCGCCCACAAAGTCTCATGCTTGGAAGGTGATTAGATAATGGATGCATTATATTTATGGGTGATATTTATACAAATCAAAACAGTGCCATAAATAAAATTAAGCAAATAATAAGCTAAAAATATAATGAACAAGTTAAGATGATCTTGGCTATCCATAGAATCCCTCAAATTTGTAGTAAAATAGGGGCAAAGGATGTGAACAGACCATTAAAATGAGAAATACAAAAGGTCTATTAATATATCAGTAATGTTTAACCTAATGTCTTGGTTACTTTTCTCTTGTTGCTGAGACAAAATACCTGATGCCCAAAATTAAAGAATGAAAGGTTTATTTAGCTCACAGTTTGTGGAGGTTTCAGTCTATTCTTGGCTGGCTCCAAGGCAGAGTGGCACATGGCAGAGGGCAACAATTTATGGCACTGGGAAAACAAAAAAAAACAACAAAAGCAAAAGGGAGGAGTGGCAAACAAGCCTCTTTCCCTCCCTTATATTGTATTTGAGCTACTCGCCCCAGAGTCGGTGTAGCACTTACACCCATAATCTCAGCATTGGACCATGAATTAATCACAAACTCTACAAGCCTGCCCCATGACTGCATGAGGCTTTGGGGGCACATCTAGACACAAACCATAACACCTAATTAGTTACCAAATGCCAATTAAAACAAAACAAGTGATAGATTTTATTGGTCATGTTGAGAAAGATTGAGATGGATGACTGTCTTCCTCTCTGGTTTGAAATTCTTGAAGGATGAGAGCTGCGTATGTGTTGTTTATTTCTGAATCATCAGCCCGAACATAGTGCCTGACCTGGGGGGAGCTCTCCACAGGAAATCCTTCAGTGAATGGGTTGGCAGAAGAATGATACACCCAGTGCTGCAGAAAGTGTCCTCTGTTGACAATATCAATTACAACAATTTCCCTAAAGAGAAAAATGGAAACACACACGTCATATGGGCACACAGTCCTTCTAGCTCACATTAAATCAAAATTGAACTCACTTGGCTACCTCTAAAGTGCCTCTTAGGTTTTAAAACCCACACTTCATAAAGCCTATGTATCAATGTGACACTTTTGAGCCAATGCATCTGTATAAAAAATTTAAAGTCAGGCACCTGAAACATAAGACAATATTTTAAATAAAACTCTATGCAGGAAAAATCCCAAGTTACATTCCAGTTGCAGTTTACAAAATGTCAGAATCCCCTGTGAATGTTTGGAAAGGAGCTCTCTGATTCCACCATGGGTATGTATGTCTTAGATCCTGATACTCAGGCTAAGAAGTGTCACACTGATCTTTTCCCTGGGAATGGTCCACCTCACACTTGTCCTGAACGCACGCCCACTGTGACCTTCATACTTGGTCCTTGTTTCTGCATCCTGTTTTATAACATAAAACATCTAAAGACCTACAGCTGAAAAGTTCTCATCGTGCACCAAGTGTTTCTGGTACAGGCCACAAAATATGTGTGTTATAATGCACCCAGTTGCTTTTTTGTGATAGCCATATGAATTGTTGGATGATCATAAAGTAATACTCTAGAAGTATTCAGCTTCTAGTATATGGTTCACTGCATACACATAAATATTTTACTGTGTTTTAATTTCTTCTGGATTTTTTTTTGTCTTTTTGAGATAGGGTCTCACTATGCAGTTAAGGCTGGTCTTGAACTCACTTTGTAGCCCAGGATGGCCTCAAACTCACAGTGATTCTCATACAGTACATTATAAGTGCTTCTGTCTTAAAGTATTATGGAAGAGGGTCATAATTAGCATCTGATTTCCAGAATAGATTACTGACATTCAACACTTTTAAAAGGGCGTGGCCTTCAATCATTCTTAACTTAAAAGGAAAAGAGGAAAATCATAAAAGACCCATGCATGTAAGGATTTCATTAGTTGTATCTTAAACTGCTAAATTTTGAAAACCTAAATAGTTACCAATACTGTATCTCTGAAATAATTTCTGGTAAGTCTGTATGATTAAACCCTATGAAATCATTTTAATCTTGTTGAAGAAAATTCATTACATGGACAAATTCCTCAAATGTAAGAATAGTTGACAAGAGTCAACACAAAGTCCATAACATACGGTGCAAATTGGATAAGAGAAAAATATTTATGTGCGCAGAGAACAAACATTGCAAGAACTGAAGAGGAGAGGTTAACCATTGTTATTTTTCAGAAGACAATACATGAGTTTAATTTTCTTCCTGCTGTTTTGATAGAATAATCTGATCTTTAATAGCAATACATTATATATATATTCAAATGTTATTTTTAAAGAACATAACAAAATTAAGGTTATTTTGGAAATGAAAAGTAGCAACAGAGGTGGCGGCAGCAGTGCCAACTGATACAAATATAGCTCTTAACTGTGCCAGGTAGTGAAAACCAAGCATAACCTCACACTGACCTTTGGCTTGGGAACCCCATCCTGCACCTGAGCCCACCAGCCTCTGCTCAGGGGCACTGATTCCAGTTCAGGAAGTCCACAGAAGCCAGATGTGCTTGGCCAAAGGTCAGAAGGGAAGCATGCTGACCTGAGTGTGCCCACAGATGCCACACACAGGATGTAGAAGCTGAGCCATGGAAAGAAGCACGGCCTGGGCGATAGCCAGACCCAAGTTCGAATCCTGTGGTGCAGCTTCATGAACTTGGGGCAGCAACTTCACCTTTATGAATCTCACCTGCTCACAAGTAGGGCAGGAACACCTCACAGGGGATCAGCTGTTGTGAGAGTTAGAGGTGACAGCCTTCACAAGTGCCAATGTAAAGGAAGTACTCAGCAACCCACCCCTCCTCCACCCAGTGCTAGTGGATGCTACTGGCTTCTTCTTAGATCCTCTATCCTTTGGTATTCTTAAGAAATATAGTTTCTGGGTTTTGCACCACAAACAAACAAACAAAAAGGATGGCAGAAGATAAGCAAAATAGCCCTTGGTTAAACTTGCTCTGTATGTAGATAAATATTCATTAATAAAGATCTATTTCACAAATGAATGAGGAATAAGAAAATCTGAAGCAATGAATGACTGCATGTCCTAAGAATAATGCTCTTACCCTGACTTATGTGCTTCCTTCTTTGCAGCTTATCCACTCACCAAGTGTCCTCCGCCCACCATCCTCCCTAATGCTGAAGTTGTCACAGAGAATGAAGAATTCAACATAGGTACCACTTCCCAAACCAGCAAGGACCGTGAGTGGGGGTCTGGTAGGGCCAGGATGGGCAGCAGTGGAGGCACTGGGCAGCAGGGCTCATTGCCGCCCCTCCCAACCCCCATGCAGACAGAAATAAAGACCCTTGTGCAAGAAGAGTGTTCATATTCTGTCAACTCAATTTCCACCTAAAATACACACTTCTTTTAGCTGCCCCTAGGAAAAAGAGCAAGGAACATCATTTTCCTCTGTGATTGCAGTTAGAATGATTTTGAGAAATCCATAAGACAGGCTAAATTTCTTAGAATATGAATATATCCATGATCTCAGTAAAGCTGACCCATGGGAGGGAAGCTGTTGTCTGGGCCACTTGTACTGGAGTCGAGCTAGTTACAGAACTCTGAACAGAACGTGACCCACTCCTGATTGTCTTGCCTAGAAGTGGGTTCCAGGTACTAAGAAGGTCAGGCAGCCTTACACAAACTGCTCCAGAGGATCCCCATGTTGATCTGTCTTGACAGGTGACATCGTCCGCTACAGGTGCCTTCCTGGCTTTACTTTGGTGGGGAGTGAAATCCTGACCTGTAAACTTGGAACCTACCTGCAGTTTGAAGGCCCACCCCCAATATGTGAAGGTAACTGCACTGGGCCATGTCTCTGGAGCCTGGAGTCCCTCCCAAGCACACCTGGGTTTCATGCCTCTTCTGTCTGCAGCTCTCAGTTCAGTCCCTGCCCCATAGAGTAAGAGGCCACCTGTAAATATTGCCTGATGAACAAGGGAGTGAAGGAGGACTACGCAAGGGCTCTGATAGGGTCTCTACCCTCTTCTGAGGTCTGGGGCTGCAGATTGCCGCATTTATGTCTGTTGTCCTTTATCCTTACACCAGCATCCTCTGGAATTGCATGCTGAGTGTTGGAAAGAGGAAATTCTGGACCTCAGGGGTGGGTGGGCACCCAGAGACCCTGCCCTGCTGGAGCGCAGCTGGAAGGTCTCGGATGCTGATTTAGGCAGCTCAGAGACCACAGTTGCCTTCAGCCCATTGCAGTCCTTAGGCAAACAATGAAACCACTTTACCTGATTCTCCCAACACACATCAAATCCAATACTCTCCACTCATGAGGCCTCTGACCAGTGGAAAGGAATACAACTGTCTTGCGCCTTAGTTGTCTCTCCTGTAAAATGAGGGTTATGATAGTACTTAATGCCATGTGGTTATTTTGCAAAATCAAATGAGTTAATCATGTAAAGCACTTTAGAATAATGCCTGGTACCATGTACTGCTCCATGTTGACTGTTACTGTATAATTGTGCTACTTCTGCTTCTAGTACTATTGCTACCAACAATATAGATTTAGTAGCCTTTGGAGAAATATGTCAGTGTCTCCCCTATTCCTTGGAAGGCAAGAGTAGAAGGAGCCTACAATACAAGATGTTAGTAAGGAAGAGAAAAGCCACAAGCAAGAGAGTTAGGCTGCTCCAGTACAGTGACAAATTCACTGTTTATTTTAGCCAAGCCAGCGCACCTGAATACCAAACAAACCCCTTTAGTAACAGCAAATTTCATTCTTCATCCTGCTCTAGAACCTCCTTGGTTTGCTCCAGCCTCAAGTTTCTCACCTCTAGCACTGCTTCTATGTCTGCATGGCCCCAATCTTACTGGTTTTACTGCCCATTCCTCTTGGACTTGGTATCATTCCTGCTTTCATAGGTTTTCTTTTAATAACAATTTCACTGAGATATAATTCACACACAGCACCATTCATCCATTTAAAAGGTACAATTCAATAGCTAGTTATACGATTGCAGAGTTCTACAACCATCACTATGATTAATTGTAGAACATTTCATCACTCAAAAGAAGCCCTGTGCTCACTGACTATCACCGTTTCCTTTCCTTCCAATCCCCATAGTCTTAGACAACCACCAATCTAATTTCTCTATGGATTCGCCTATTCTGGCCACTTCATATAAATATAACCATGAAATATCTGGTCTTTCATCACTGGCTTCTTTGGCTTTAACATAGTATTTTCAAGGCTCATCTGTGTTGTAGTGTACATCAATATTTGCTTTCTTACCGCCAAATAATATTCCATTGTGTAGACACACTCCTCATTTGGCCTGCCCATTTGGGTTGACTCCACTTTTTAGCTGTTACAAATAATGCTGCTGTGGACATTCATTTACCTGTTTTCTATGGCTTTATTTTAGGTTCTCTTAATGTACACCTAAAAGTAAAATTGTTGGGCTATATGATAACATTATGTCTAACCTTTTGAGGAACTAGCAAGCTGCACTTCAAAGTAACTGGACCATTTTACATTTCTACCAGCTGTGTATGAGGCTCCTGGTTTCTCCACATTCTTGCCAACATGTCTCATTATCTATTTTTTTAATTATAGCAATCTTAGCAGAAATGAAATAGTTTTGATTTGCATTTCCCTGGTGGTTAATGATTTTGAGCATCTTCTCATGTGCTTATTATATATCTTCTGTGGAGAAAACTTGTCTTAGTCATTTTCCTCATTGCTGGGACAAACAGCTACAAACATACACACAATTTCAAAGAGGGGAGGTTTTCTTCATTCACAATCAGCGGGTTCCAGGGTAGGAGCAACATGTTGAAAGGGTCTAGTGGAGGAAAGCAGCTCACATCAGGGTGGCCAGGAAGCAGAGGGCAAGGGGAGAAGCTGGAAGCGAGATACTCTTTTCTGGGTCACACAGCCAGTGACCCGTCTCTGAATGGGCTCCAGCTCCTAACAGCAAGTCAGCCCTGAACTCGTGAGTGCACTACTCCAAAGATGAGCCTTGTGCCACCGTGATCCCCTCACCCCCCAAACATATGAGGCTTTGGGGGAACACGTACCAGATCTAAGTCATAATAAATACCTGTTCGGTTCCTTTGCTCATTTTTAAAACCAGATTTCTTTTTGTTATTAAGATTTCAGAGTTTTGTATGTTATAAATATGAATCCCTCTGTGTTATTTGAGACAAAAAATTTCAACTTGTGGATTATCTCTTCACTTTCTTTTTCTTTCCGTGTTCTTTGAAACACAGAAGTTTTTACTAATTTGATGATGCTAGATTAATCTCTTTTTCTTTGGTTTCTTGTGCTTTGGGTGTGTTATTTCAGGGACTGTTACTTAGTCTAAGTCAAAAAGATTTACATCTGTGTTTTCTTCTAATAATTTATAGTTTAAACTCGTAAGTCTTGGATCTGTTTTGAGTTAATTTTTCTATACGATATCAAGTAGGGGCCCACTTCCCTCTTTTGCAAGTGAAGATCCATGCACCACTTACTGACAATTGTTAGTCCTCCAACTTTTTTCTTCTGTGTCAAGACTACCTTGGTAATCTGAGTTTTTTTAATGTCTCCAAGAATGTTAGGATCAGACTATCAGTATCTGCAAAGCACCCAGGGAGCATTTGAAGGGATTGAGTTGAATCTATAGGTCAGTCTGGGTAGAATTGCCTTCTTAAAAATACTTAGTCTTCCCACCCATGTACATGGATGTCTTTCACTCATCGTCTCCCTTGTACATCTTCCTCTATTCTTTGGTTTATTTTACTCTTTGATGCCTCAGTTTAACACCCTGTCCAGTGAAGTCTTAATTCTCTCTGAGAGGGATAAGTCATTATTCTATGTTCCCAGAAGCAGCTCTCCTTCTGTGACAACAGGGAAGACCTGGTGAAGATTTGAAACCTAAGAACATCACCATGAAATTCCAGAACATCAAATATAAAATTATAGCTAGAAAGATATCATTAATCTTTGACATATAACAAAAATTTCAAAAAATGTATAGCAAATACTTTGAGATGCTAGTGTAGCAAAGTTAGTATCAGAAGAAAATAGAACTTAGAACATATTAAAAGAGGTAAGGAGATATATTTCATACTAATAAACATAATATTCATAACAATATGTCAAGAATATATTATTTATATTAGAGTACTTGTACTACTGTGGGGTTTTGGAGGGAGGATGTTGAGACAGGGTTTTGCTGTGTATCTCAGGCTGGCCTTGAACTCACTATGTAGTCCAGGTTGCCTTGAACTCCTGGTAATCCTCCTGTCTCAGCCTCTTGAGTAGTGGGATTACAGGTGCGTACCACCACCCCCAGCTCGTACTACCATTGAGGGCACTGAAGAAATTATTTAGTCCTTAAAACTTTGCTTTGGAGTTTTCAACTTAAGCAAGTGAAGGTAGATCCATAGTCCTGCAATTTGTTTCATGCAGACTGTTGTGATGCTTCCTTATTCCCCATCACAGAGCACCTCCCCAGTGTTTGGGGCATACCAGTTCCCTCTGAAACAATATCTTTCCTCCCTTTTGTGGAGGTCAGAAAACCCAGTCCTCCTCCTTTCCTAAGGCCCACACTGACTGTCTTCCTGAATGTAACATTTTCTCTTTAGTTGTATTGATACTACTAAATAGGTTACTGCCAAGCTCTGCTGACCATTTCTGTTTCTGATGCAATCACCATTATCATCCTCATGTCCATGTACTGAGGCACTATGTTTCGGGCTTTATGTATATATTCTTTCATACTATGTATGTAATATAATATATAATAATCCTGTGAGGCAGGCAATAAAGAATCCATCACACAGATGAAATAATCTGTTGAAGACCACATAAGTACTCAGTGGCAGAGATGGGGTATAATCCAAATATTTTTGCTCCCAAGGCCCAATACACCCCCAAAAGATAGTGTAAGGCTTACCTCTACCTTACACTATCTTTGTAAAATCAAATCCATCTTCTAGATTAACCTTTTGGATTTTCGGTACCTTACTAAGCCCCACAATCCTGTAACACTGACACAGGATCTGAGGCTACACCATGTCACAGAGCAGTAAAATGGTTGGGATGAAGTCTTGTTGAAATGTTCCTAAATACTATTTCTCTAGTGGTTGTTTTTTGTACCAAGGAAAAAGCCAATGTGTTGGCTGGATTTCATCTCTACTCCACATACCTAGTTTTTCTTTGTTTCTCCAAGTGCACTGCCCAACGAATGAGCTTCTGACAGACTCCACGGGCGTAATCCTGAGCCAGAGCTACCCCGGCAGCTACCCCCAGTTCCAGATCTGCTCTTGGCTAGTGAGAGTGGAGCCCGAGTATAACATCTCCATCACGGTGGAATACTTCCTCAGTGAGAAGCAGTATGATGAGTTTGAGATCTTTGACGGTGAGTCAGTCAAGTGCTGTGTAGTTCTCTGCTGCAGGTGGCACAGACTTGCTCCAGACCCTTGGGAGCCTGCCCTGCAGTCTTCCTGTTGGGGCTGGCTGGGGCTCCACATGATGTATTTCTCCACTGCAGAAACGTATTGGATCGGAAGGACTGTATTGCTGCTGCCTGGATACCAGCCAGGACCTATTACAAAACCTTTCTTACTGTAGTCCCCACTCAAAGCTCACACCATTGAAATGTCATCTAATAAATGTATCACTGCAGTATTCCCAAGTGAAGAGTATGCTCCCTTTAGAACCCACAGAGGTCTGCCAAACATGGACCTTCTTCTTCAGTGATAGGAGGGGAAAATGGGCAATCATTTGCTCTTAAATTGGGAGGGAATGTCTCTGCGTGCTCCACACCACTCTATCCTAAACACTTCACTGCAAACTTTGTAGGATTTTCTCTTATTCTCTGGAGCACATGAGACTTACAAAGGCATCTACACTAACTTTCCCTAGAGGCTCATCAGAGCTATTGAATATGATGTCTTCAGTATAGGAGCCAATATGCTACATTTTGCCAGATGTCCAAATTGTCTCCATCCCTTCATACTGTATTATGACAAAAAGCAAGAGAATTAACACAGCTCTGATACCAGACCATGGATGTATACTGCTGCCTACCTCATGTGATTCTGATCCTCCTCTCTGGTGGATATGGGAAAAATGCATTTCCAGATCCACAGCTGCATTCCATGTAACCAAGACTATATTACTCTGCTCTAATAAAGATACAACATCTGACACAGCTGCTACAACTAGGTTACCTTGGCTAAGTTTGCACTGTGAGGGGAAACTAGGCCGGGACTCCGTTAATTACAAATTTCAACCCTCACGTATGCCTGTCCTAACAGAGCATCTATGATAAGCTTCTGATCTCTGGATGTCAGCATCAATCCACACCTACATGCAAAAGTCTTTAATATAGTACTTAGCCATTCTCACTTCCATAATATTCAGTTATCTGAGGAAATAACGGTGAGTCTTTTGGGTGGGAAGACCTAGAGGAATCACTACTATCTACAATTTGTCATTTTGCAGGTCCCTTTTCTATAGGAACTTAACTTGTCCTTCAGCTAAGTGTCCTGCAGTGGAGAATGAACCCTGGCCTGCGTCTACAAGCTGGGGAAGAGATTGGGACTTCCCATTATGGGCAGCTTTCCTTGCACTTTGGTTATCTACTCATGATCTGTTTTACTCACGTATTCATACTGGTTTTGGCCCCCATCTCTCTTGTCCTTAGGAACACCATGTCCGTGAGCCATCTCTATAGATCCTGCAGGTCAGGCCCTTCCAGTTGCCACCGTAAACTCCATGCCCATTGTAGTCATTGTGCCAACTTTGCTTCTGGCTGCTAAGTGCTCCCACTTGACCTCCGTATTCTAGGATCCTCTCAGCCCCACCAATGCTAGCAAGCCCAGTTCTCCGGCAGATATCCTACATCACTTTCAGCATACAAAGGACAGCTGCAACTTGGGGTCTCAGTAGTGCTGGGGCTTGCTCCTACTCAGAGTGCTGCTAATTGCATGAGTAATTCCTCCATCCTAAGGAATAAGGTCAGCCAACCAGGTTGTGCTCTCCTGATGGACCTATTCAAATATACCATTCCACTAAGCCTCTGGGCCCCTTCCTTTGTGGTTTTCCACAGCTGTCCAATGGCACTACTTTGTTTAATATGGTCCATTACTTTGCCAACCTTCCAAGAGGTGTCTCAATAGCATATTATAAACCTTACTCAGGGGGCTGAGGATTTAGCTCAGCGGCACAGCACCTGCCTGGCAAGTGCAAGGTCATGAGTTCAATTTCTGGTACTGGAAAAATAAATAAATAAATAAAAATAAACTTTACTTGGGGCCTTTTACAGGAGATAAATCCTGAATTCTGGATAATCGAGCTTTCTGCCTCAAACCAGCACCCTCAGGAGTCAACAACAGGGCCTATGATAGGAAAGAGAAGAGGGAGGCTTTTCTCAAAGAGCCTTGGGGAGGAAGTTGGAGAGTGCTGTTACTTAGGACACTGATACCTGACCTTTTCCTCTGGCTTTCTTACTATCTATTCATCAATAAATACTTTTCTATATACCAGCACCAAGCTGTTGTTAGCATCCACAAGAGAAGTGGAGTGACCAAGGGGAAGAGTTCCCAGTTTGAAAGCCAGCTCTTCCACTGACCAGCTGCTTAACCCTGGCCAAGTCCAAAAATGGCAGATAGATTTCTTGACCTCCCATAGATAAGCAGGAACTTCTCAAGGCACTGTTTCAGATCTGGGCTCAGCGGAAAGAGCCCTCGAGTAAAAGCAATAGATGCAAAGACAGGATGTTATTGATGGAACAAATCACCCTGCCTTCCGCACCCTAATGTCAGCACCATGGCCCTCTGTAGCACAAGGATGGTCTGTAAGCATGTGTCCTTCTCACCCAGGTCCCTCAGGACAAAGCCCTCTGCTGAAAGCCCTCAGTGGGAATTACTCAGCTCCCCTGATTGTCACCAGCACCAGCAATTCTGTGTATCTGCGTTGGTCATCTGACCACGCCTACAACCGGAAAGGCTTTAAGATTCGGTACTCAGGTGAGTGAACCTTGCACACTCAAGAGAGGGCCCTGTTCCCTGGGCTTCTTAGGGCTGTTTTTTTTCACCCAAAACATGCAAATAAGCTATAGTCCATCTCATCAAGGGGGCAAGTTTCCCTGTAGGGGCTGAGCAGCTTCCTTCTCTAAATTTGCCTCCCCAAAATGTATGCAGTTGGCCCCTGGATTTTCCCACATCCTCTTCTTCTAGTCCTTTCCCCACATTGAACTTCTGCCTTCTCCACTCTCTTGCTGCCAGCCTGTGTTTTTAGAATAAATTTAACTATTATACATGATCTCATAAAGCCCAAGGGCATCCTATTCTTTTAGAATTTCTCTTTAGGAAATCAGAAAATGTTAGCAAAATCCCTGAAAAACCTGGAGTCTCTAACTGGCAGGTATTAGTCAGGCAACAAAGTATTGGCTGTATTTTAAAACCAGGAGCTTCTTTTCTGCTCTTCCAGCCATATATTTTTGTGGGTTTTTTCACTGAATGTAAAAATTGTACATATTTATAGGATACAATGTGGCATTTTCATATATATCTACAATGTGTAATGATCAAAGCAAGACAATTACCAAATTCATCACCCTAAACATTTATCATTCTTTTGTGTTACAAATAGTCAAAACCATTTTTCTCGCTCTTTCATAATATAAAATAAATGTGTTTTTAACTAAGTCACCCTACTGTGCTACAGAACACCAGAATTCATCCTCTTATCTAGCTATATATTTTTACCTGATAGCTGACCTATTTCTATCCCCTCTTCTCACTTCATCCCCATACTCTCCACTTCTATAAAATCAACATTTTTAGTTCATATATGTGAGAGAAAACATGCAGTATTTATGTTTCTGTGCCTGACCTATTTCATTTAACATAATGTCCTCCAGTTCTATCTACGTTGCTACAAACAAGATTTCATTCCTTTTTATAAGAAGCCGTGTCTTAAAGGCAGGGTCAGATAAAATACCAGGCCTTACAGATGGCTGACCCAGGCAACAATCTATAAAGAATGCAAAAATATCCCTAGGGATATAACAAGGTGGAGAAAATTGAATTTCTCTGAGCTCCCAGTGTGGGGATTATGCTCAGGTAAGTGGAGAACTGATTAAGCTACTGGATCTCATGTTGAAGGCCCTTGCTTCTGCTGACTACTACCCAGACCCTTCAAGGTTGGAGGCAGAACTGAATTACTCTAGACTGTGGGGAGTTCTGCCATGCACCAGGGTCCCTCCAGCACCCTTCCTCTGGCTGCATCTGTCCTGCATTCAAACACACTTTAGACATACTCTTAAAGAATACTAGTTGGTTCAGTAGGGATACCAAATTATCACAGACTGCCTGAAGTACCACTGTCTCAACCCATGTCTTCTCATGGGCCTCCCACTCACAAGAGGGCCTGCTGGAGTCCGAAAGAACCTTTAGTGTGGCTTCCAGGGAAAAGCCAACCAGATGAAGCTGAACAGAATGTGGGAGGCAATGGAGCTCTCCTATCTCAGGATCTATTTCTTCTGCACAAACTCTCCTTTCCCTGGTGCATACACTGTAGGGGTGGCGGTCTCATGAACGGGTACCTCAGAGTTTATAACCAGCTCTGTCACTAACTAGCGATAGGATTATCAGACAAGGTACTCACTAGTTAACTACTTTGGGCCTCAGTTTCCTCATGATCAAAAAGAAGCTTCTACATACCTCTCTGGTGCAATCCGGGCTAAGCTCCCTGCAGCTGCTCAGACCAAAGGGAAGTATGATATTTCCGTACCCTGCTTGCTAAATTAAGAACTAAAAGCTATTAAAGAATTGCCCTTTCCATGACATTCAAAGACTCACATGTTTGAAGGTAATGAGTCAGTAGTAATTACAGTACATATACCCCATAGAAAAGGAATTGATTACATGCAGCAACAATTAGTACGTAATAATTAAAATACAGTAGACATATAATTTGCATATGTATCTGTCATTGTGATTGTGTATTTTATAATTGAGATTCCTGTTCCTGCATAGATTCAATACACACAGGACAGAGAGGGCAAAGTAGGAGAAAGGCAATTTGGCTTGCCACAGAGGTATCTGAAACACCAGTTCTACCTGCGGAGGGGCGTGACCCCTCCAGACGAGAGGCCCGAGTCACTCACTGTGAGGCATGTGAGTACGGCCTGGCCCACTGTGCCCCGCCCCAGTCTTCCTGGAAGGCCCAGCCAGGAACTCCCACGTGGTCCTGGGGTCATTTCTCTTTCACATCCTCACAGAACTTGCCTTGAGGGTCTGTAATGTGAGTTCTCTCCGGGCAGGATTTTTGTCTGATTCCTTCCTTGTTGTTCCCCCAAAACTTAGAACAGCAGCTGGCATTTGATAGACACTCAAGATCTATTTGTTAGATAAATGAAACCATATGTTGAGGGGAAATGAACCTTGCAGAGAAATTTATATCCTGGGTTGCCACAAGTGCCTTACACAATAAAAAGAAGACAGACAACCAAACTGTCCAAACACCTGTGCTACAAGTACTAGGGGTCCCAGTTTATGGGGCAGAAAACTCGAGCTAAACAAACTTATGTCACAGACCTTCTAATATCCCTACAGTCACGCCTTTGGGAACCAGTCCCTTGGGGTTTTACTTCCCAAGACTGCCTATGAGCCGAAGGGGTTGGAGAGCCTAAACTGGACCATAAAATCACTGCTTCCTTCAGATGGAAAAGGGGACCCAGTGCTTCATGGAGCAGGGGGTTTTTTTGTTTTGTTTTTTATTGTGTTCTTTTGTTTATCCTTTGTTGTGCTTTGGCCTTCTAAACTGACTGGCTGATTTTCAATATCAACCACTCAGACCTTCCCAACTAGCAGAGTACCTGGCAGTGGTGAAGACAAGGAATGGGGGTAGAAGAAGGGGCAGAACAGTCATGAAAGACTGTGTCTGTCCTGTCTGTGCTCACTTCCCTGAGCAGCCACTCTTTCTTCAGCTCCCTACTGCAGCCTGCCCAGGGCTCCACTCCACGGCTACATTCTGGGCCAGACCAGCACCCAGCCTGGTGGCTCCATCCACTTTGGCTGCAACTCAGGCTACCGCTTGGTGGGACACAGCATGGCCATTTGTACCCGGCACCCCCAGGGCTACCATCTGTGGAGCGAGGCCATTCCTCTCTGTCAAGGTAAGAAGCAGGTAGGAGAAGGGGTCACAAGGTGGCTGGGATCCAACACACATGTTGACTTTGTTTCAGGGCCAATCACTTCCAAATGTGGGTTTCCTCTGGTTTAATAATTAATTTACTCTTTCAGCAAACACTGAAGACCCCATAGTGTCCCCAACAAATATGCATAGCAGCCTGTGTTTTCAGGAACATGAGAAGATGGATGTGTGAGCACAAAAATGCAAAATAACAGAGTGAGAAAGTGCTGTGTCAGAGGTATAAACAATGTTATAGACGCCCAAAGATAAGAAAGGACCTACTTCCTTCTAGACAGCTAGGGAAGGCTCCGGGAAGAAGACTTGGGCTTGGGCTCCTACAGCACGTGAAGTGATTGAACAGTTGAACTTTACCACTCAGTTCTCATGCATTAGGACCTTTAATAATTTATGAGTGTTTTTTTCCCTTAAAGTAATATATATTCAGACCTGAAATCTGAAAAAAAAAAAAAAATGATGGCTATGGCTATAGATAATGCAAAAGAAAACAAAGTAAAAACAAACTGTAATCCTACCAATGTGAGATCACTGCCATTAACATTTCAGCACATTTCCTTTGGTCTTCTATACAAAAGTGGAGAAGCAGCATATAGAACTCTGAGTATTTTGTTAACATCTTTCATCTAATTAAATCTAATTCCTTGTCATTATTTGCGATGGTTATGTGTCATTATGGGGTGTATTCAGGTTATCATCCTATTGTGAGTAATTTGGATTTCTATATTTTGTGTTACTGTAAACTATAATTTTATGCTTAGAAACATTTATTTCCTTAAAATAAATTCTCAGAAATAAGAGTGTTGAATCACAATGTATGCAAAATTTTGATACTTATTTCTGTCTCAAAATTTTGTCCTCATTTATACTTCTACCACTAGCACATGAAAATTGTCTTTTGTGGCAATCTTAGCATTATGTACAGCATTTAAAAAGATTTGTGTCAGTTCCCGGTACCAGAGAAAAACCAAAACAAAAAAAAAACAAAACAAAAAATAAAAAAGATTTGTGTCTTTCTTTAGCTCTAGGAAATTGTCATTTACAATAATTCCATCCCATCTACCATCTTTCTTCTCCCTTTCTGGAGCAGTGAGCCATTAGATGTCGAATCTTCTAGACTGATCCTTTGTTTTTAATCCTTTTATTGTCAGTCTCTTGTCTTTTTGATCTATATCCTGGGAAGTTTCCTTTACTTTTTAATCATCAGCACTTCTATTTGATGCATATTTAGCAATCATATTTTTCATTTGAAAGAGCTCTTTCTTGTCTTCTTTTTATTGTGCTTTTTTCAAAGCACTCTGCTCACATTTTGTAAATACCATCTGACCTCTACTTCAAGACACTACTAAAGTTCAAAGATTGTATATCTTCTCTTTCCTCAATTATTAGTCCCCTATTTCCTAAGGGGACTTTTCTCCCCTATTTGTAATCTTATCTTTGCTTATCACATTGACACTACTGGTTTTCTTCACATATTTAGTGATCTTTGACTGTTCATATCTAAAAAGTAAAGGCTAGATTGATTTTTCCTAGCCAAAAGTAAAAGGTAGATTACCTTTGCTCTTAATCTGTGAAGTTTCTGTGCTTACTAGGCCCATCCCATGAATAAGAAGCTAAATTGAGTGTGTGACAGAGAGCATGATGCAGAGTGGCATCCTTTTGGATGAGAGATTTAAGTTTTTCGGCTTCAACCATAGGATTAGGAGCTTTCCTCTAGGATGCCAACACCCAACTTACGAGCTGTAGTTTTTTTTAAGGTCGTTCTCTCCCGCCAACTCCACTCTTTATTTTGTTTGGAGACTTGATGCTTGAATGCCTGTACCCTGTGGCTAGGATGAAATAAACTGATCTCACCCTGAGGCTCTTTCTCATATATTTTCAGCAACAGCCTTTTAGCTCCGTTTACTTTTCCAGCACACTCCCATCTTTACTCTGTCTTCCAAATGATCTTTTCTGAAGTCTCTGCTGATGGTTCTCCCTTTTTCCTGTTTATTATGAGGGGTTTTTCCATTTTTATTTGTTTTTACTGTAAAATTTTAGGGCCTTGGGTGGAAAATAGAGATCAAAATATGTTCTCAAAATACAGTTTGAACCAGAAATGCTCATGGCATTACTTCTTCCTTGCTAGCTCTTTCTTGTGGTGTTCCTGATGCCCCCAAGAATGGAATGGTGTTTGGCAAGGAGTACACCGTGGGGACCAAGGCTGTATACAGCTGCAGTGAAGGCTACCACCTCCAGGCAGACGCCGAGGCCACCACAGAGTGTCTGGACACAGGCCTGTGGAGCAATCGCAATGTCCCCCCACTGTGTGTCCGTGAGTGCTTGGGCAGTGGATGTGGGCATAAGGAGGGCCCGAGGAAACAGCTGAAAATATCCCTTCCAGGACGGAGCTAAAAGCCCAACAATGGGGGTGGGGGCATCTACACGGATGTTGAGGGATGTTGGGAAAGGGTTGTGGTTCACGTCTACCAGCTGGGGTTCCCATTAGGTAATTACTAACATAGCCCTGGTGGACCACTGTGTCCTGAGGTGTTTCCATGAACCACCGTAGAAGCTAGGAATGATCTGGTCCACTCCTTTTTAGATGGAGAAACTGTCAGAAAGTTTTCATGAATGCCTCTTGGTCACAAAACTCTGAAATGACAACTTTCAGGCCAGAGTTACAAATTGACAGCCTAATGGACCGCATTGGATGGACAGCATTCAGTCCAAAACTATTGGCCTCAGTTTTTGTTTGGCTTATCCTATGCTTTATAAAATATCTTTTCAATTGCTTCTCAATATTTTAAAATTGAGAAATTTTAAATAAAAATCCAGATTTCTGACTTCTCTCAAAAAATAAAGGTCTGACCAAATGGAACATAGAGTCCTACATCCTATAATCAACATTGATTGAGTACCACCTTCCTCTTATTGTAGATTGTTCTGGCAAATCTGTCCTAGGTTGTCACATCCCCGCACAACCCACATTGTTTATTTACCAGACCTGCCAAGGGACCAAAGACTCTTGGATTCATCATTACTACATTAAGTCTCCCAGTGCCCATCTCTGGCCTCCTACAGTGTCTTCCATACTGAATTAACCACCCTCGCTGCTCTTTGTCTCTCCAGCTGTGACCTGTCCTGACATCAGCAGCATCAGTGTGGAGCATGGCCGGTGGAGACTAATCTTTGAGACCCAGTACCAGTACCAGGCCCAGCTGATGCTCATCTGTGACCCTGGCTACTACTACACTGGCCAAAGGGTCATCCGCTGTCAGGCCAATGGCAGATGGAGCCTTGGGGACTCTATGCCCACCTGCCAAAGTAAGCCCCTGAGGGAAGTTTGTACACAGCCTCCTACTTGATCTCATACATGGGGTGAATCGGGGATAGGGAGAAGTGGGTATCCCCAGGGACCCCGGTATGCCTGGTTTTGGAAACACCTTGAATCAGAAACTGGGAAAATTCCTGCTCCTCTGAACTTCTTAGCATCTTGTCATCTTATTAAAATCTTCCGTTTAATAAGCTGTTCAGATGCATATGCACTACTTCATTAATCCATGTTCACTAGGT